ATAAAATCTCGGAACGTGCCAAAGGTGAGACTGGTGTTGCAAGGTACTGTATCCTGTTTGTCCTGTTTGCAACTTTGCAACGTAAGTTATGTTCCTCAAACAGCTGACATAGCAAACACGCTAGCTATAAACAGTAACTGCTTCGCTCCCAAGTACTACGCGCGGTGGCAATTCTGCACAAATCCCTGTGCTGCACTAGAAGTAGAGCTGATAGTGACGTCTAAGTGGCTGGGGTATGATTAGAAGCCTAGAAACGCTTAAATAAGACGTATTGGGGCTGCACAAGCAGCAGGATGACACTGCTTTCGGAAAGTCCTTTCTGCTTCGCAAATGTAGACCTGCTGGAAGGAAGGCGAGAGGGCAACAATGCAAAGGTAATTTTAGAATAGGAACAGTACGTTGCATAGAGCAGAAGCTATAATACCTGTGGTATGACACAAAAACTTTAACATTAATGCATATCTGAGATAGCAAGCCATCCAAGTCAAAGTACCCCTTGAACTTTTCGGCACGGAGGGTTTTTCGTTACGCAGGGACGGACGTTAGTCCGGATTTATCCGGCAGGAGAGGCCCTGAACAGCTCTTGGCAGGCGACTTGACACTCAACCAACAAGGCTTAGCGTATATTGTCTAAGTAATGTAAGTTAACTTAATAATCTCATGTTATTCGCGTGTGACTTCCCGACATGAGTTCAGTGTAGCATACACGTGACTGCTGTTTCAGGTCAAGCGTCGTCTAGCTATTGGCGACAGCTGACCTCTTCCTATCCTGTTTCGAAAGGGTGAGATCTACTGTTTCGGGCCGGGAAGACTGCACTACCAGAACAAGCGAGCATTACTTCGACCTCAAGCATCCGTACAAGTAGATGACTGCACACGAGCTTTGGTATGAGCACATACCGGTCGTATGCTGGGAATGTTTTACATATTCATGACCCCTCGCACGTATAAATCACACACATCATTGTGCCAAGTAGAACAGTTCTCAGATATGGCTCTGTAGGCAGCCAGAGTTTGGGCGTCCGAGAGTGGCTAGCACAGGATTGCTGGCATATCTTGTGCGGCGTGATATATCTTTACAATGAATAAACAAAAAGAACCAAAGAAATCAGGCTCAATAAGACGCAAAGGCCATAGTAGAGAATCACTTCTTATTCAGAACAGGGATAGCATCGCGCAGCAACTTCACTACCTGCTCATGGCCTCTGCATGAAGCCGCCTGGAGTGCGTTGCCGTATTCTCCACCCTGCGCGTTCGGGTCGGCGTCCTTGTCAAGCAGTAGCTTCACCACCTGCTCGTGGCCTTCGTATGAAGCCGCCTGGAGTGCGTTGCCGTATTCTCCACCCTGCGCGTTAGGGTCGACATCTTTGTCGAGGAGCAGCTTCACCACCTGCTCGTGGCCTCCAGATGACGCTGCCTGGAGTGCGTTGCCGTACCTTCCACCCTGCGCGTTCGGATCGGCTTCCTTGTTGAGTAGCAGCTT